AAAAAATGCACAGATGCAGAAGCATTTCTATTTTGTTAACCTGTCCTCAACACCTACAATTATTGGAATACGTTCAACAAATATCTGTTAAATTGAAAAAAAAAAAAAAAGTTAAAAGTGATGTCTGTTAAAACAATGAAAATTCACATATAATAATGATTTTGTATTGAGCTAATAAAATAATTATTAACATTGTTTATACCAGTTAAAATTCCACATGCATTTTTTCATTTAATTTACAAAGGAATCCAAAAAATAAAGTTTCCATAAATATTTCATAGTAATGCTGCCTTGTCTATGACCATATGTTAATATCAAAATATTGTACTAAAACATAAATAAAAATAACATTACAAAATCTGTTATAAATTTTGTACACACTATTTTTAAGCTAAGTACTCAGGAAAGCAATCTACAAAGTCAGAGTGCCACTTAATAAGAACTCTAGTGTAAGGATGAAACTAAGGTCATTATTTGAGCCTTAAGAATTTAACATTCTATTTCATATTTCATGTATGATCTAATGTATCATCTTACCAGCACTTGTTTAAAATTTACCTTTGCCAAATCTGTACCAGTATTAGTACAAAATTCACTTTTTTTTTTTTTTTTTTTTGGCTCTTGGGCAGGAATTGTGTGAGTCAAGACAGAAAAAATGTAAAAGAGTCTAAATATGGTTCTCACTATCAAAAATCTTAAATGTAAAAAGTATACTAAAATGTTCTGTAAATATGTTCAAATTCAATATAAAAAGGATATATCATACTAGCTACTTCCATATTTGTCTGTTGCGCTGCCAGTTCCTTCCTTATATATGCAATATTTAGCAGGTTACTTCTCATTTCCAACAGCAAAAATTACAATTACAAATCTATACCAAAAGAATATTTTATAATTCCATCAAGTTTTGTTTTTGATTTTCTAATGAGAAAATTTAATATTTAAATATAATACTATATAATCTTAAAAATAGCCAAGGCTATCCTGTTATATCTTTTCCTAAAATTTGCACCTCCTCCTTCAAATACTCATTTAATATACTTATTAACCTTTCTATTTGTTCCCATTACCAGTCATAAAATACATGAAGCATCTTTTATTTAAAGATAAGTATATTTAATATGTGCAATGTCATTCTGCCTCTAGATTTATAAGAGAATTTAAAACAGAAAAAAAAGGGAATTTTTATTTTAGGTTACAAAAAGAAAATCTAAGACATAAATCTAGATTATTATAACTACTGCTTTCATCTCACCAAACTTACATTATTTTTTCTATAAGAAAAATTAAAACCCTTAATCAAAAAAATAACATATATGCTGATCACTCTTCCAAGTATTTTACAAGTATCCATTTACTTAATGCCTTCACTAACTGCTAAGTTCAATTTTTAGACAAGAAAAATGGAGCTAAATGAAGTCACCTGTCAGCTGAGCTCAATTAGTAGGAACAAGAGCTGGGACTGCCAACTCAGGTGGTCTGACTAAAAGATTTGTTCTCAAAACTTAATATATGCTTTTATAACCGCAATCATCAACCAGCAAAGTAGGTAGAAGAATGTTCCCCGTCACAATGTACATGTCCTAAACACCAGAACTTTGGAATATACATGGCAAAGGGAAGTTAACATCACACATGAAATTAAGGCTGCTAATCTGTTGATGTTTAGAAGGGGTAATTAGCCAGGACTGTCCAGGTGAACACAATGTAATCACAATGTCCCTTATAAACAGAAGAAGGTAGAAAAGAGAGAACTAGAGAAATGGCAAAATAAGAATAGGTTACTTTAAAGACAGAAGAATCTTCCAGAACTTGGGGGGAGAGGGTGAAGCAAGGAAATGGATTTTTTCCCCAGAGCCTTTAAAAGGAACTCATTCCTGACGGCAACTTGGTTTTAGTCCAGTGAGAACCATTTGAGATTTCTGACCTCCAAGCTGTAATCAAATTGTAAATTTGTGTAGTTCCCAGTCACTGATATTGAGTTAATTTGTTTCATCAATGTGATGGTTATGTTATGTGTTGGTTTGGCTAGACTGTGATGACCAGTTGTTGGGCAAATAGTATTCTTGTGTTGCTCTAAAGTTTTTTTTAGAGGTGCTTAACACTGACAATCTACTCATGCTAAGAATAGCAAACTGCCGTCCATTTCATAACGTGGGTGGGACCACATAGAACAGCAGTCAAAGTCTGTTAGATCAAAAACCAAGGTTTCCCAAGAAATAAAGACTACTGTCTCTAGACCACAACACAGAAATAATACCTGAGTAACCAGTCTTATCTTTTTTTGTTCTGTATTTCTAGTGAACCCTAATATAAGCAGTAATAGGGGAAACGATAAAGCAATAAACTTTAATTATCTTGGACATATGGAACAGAAATAATGATATAAAGATTTTATGAAATTACTTAGCAATTTATTGCAAGTGATTGTAGGGAAGAAGGAAATTGGTTACCACAGATTCAAACAAAAGCCTAAAACTATCATGTTTTCCTTCCTTGAAGGGTGTATTTTTTTAATTTCTGAAAATGCTGAATTTCCATTGAAATATTTATATATTTTTATAAAAAAAAAATGAACCTGGGAGGTCAGTATGTCAATGCATGTGTTTTAGAACCATTTACCGTTGTTACCTGGATAAACTGCTTAATAATTCTAAGTTTCAGATTTCTATTAACTACAATGGGCATAATAATACACAATTGTTGTAAGGATTAATTTAGACAATGAACTTATAAAATTTGCCAAATACCTAACAAATATTAATTGCTTAAATATTAAGTGAAACTTAATTATCAATGTGTCAACATATTAATTACAATATTTAAACTATCTTAATTAATCTCCCCGGAATACTAAATTTGCCAAGGGGGAAAAAAAAAAACAGGAAATTTAACTGAGGGAGATTTCATATTTGTAATTCTTACAGGACCAAACTGTGTTGCATACTCCAGCTGTAACTGTTGTATATTAGAATAACAGAGTCACTATCCTGATCAGGGACTGATGATGCTAATTGAAGTCTATATTCATAGTGCCTGTGTCATTTTGTCGACTAACATCAGCTAAATCCACATAACAGTGACAAGACCTCAGGAGACAGTGTATATAATTAATTCTGAAAAGGAGTGCTGACTCAAATCCTAAGAATTATGATATTGTACTACATGATTCACAAACTTCCTCAAGCATTACCTCATTTGATCCACAGAATTGCCTTGACAGAAAGGGAAGGCCAATACTATAGATATTTTGCTTCTGAGGAAACTGGAGTTCTGAGGAGGTAACATTTTGGCCCATTAACAAAACTAGCTAAAATGCCTCTCTTGTTTCTACTTCTCCTGTATTTGTAACAAGCTTCTTCTAAACTTAAAAGGAATGCGTTTTGAAAAAAAAACCATTTATTTACAAGTATATTTATTTTATTTTTATAATTTACAGAAATAATAGCCTTTTTGGAGATTTTATATATTAGGGTAAAGAAGAGAAAAAAGACTTTAAGAAGACATTTTGCTGGGCCTCCCTAGTGGCCCAGGGGGTTGAACACCGCACTATGGGGTGGTCCACAGCCTCTGCAGCATGGGTTCGATCCCTGGCTGGCCAGGGAGAAACCCACATAGTGAGGCAGACCTCTCCTGTCTCGCTCGCTGCTCCCCTCAGCAGTGTTTTCGGTTGGTCTGCCTGTTCTGCTCCCCACTCTGTCTCTGGTGAATCCTATCACCACCCCCAACCCCGCATGTCTGGCCTATACCCCAGCTCTTGTATGCATAAGTAAATAAATCTTAAAAAAAAGATATTTTGCTAATTAAAAGAGTGTGGCAGAGTGAAAGACTGATATAGCCCCCACTTTATCTATAAAGATAAAAGCTACAATTTTCAATTTTGCATTTCCTTCTCTAATCAAAAATTATGACTGGAGCTGATGTGCTCACCACTAATCTGCATTCAAACTTCACAATTCATTCTCACTGTACCCTTCAACAAATTACCAAACCAATATATAAAGACAAGCCTGCAAATGTTTGGTTTATGCAAGATGAAAAAAAAAAGAAGTTAATAGCTTTTGATGAAGGAAGATCCATTTCCAGTCCTCCCATACATCCTTTAAGGATCCTGGCAGTATATAATAAATATTCTGCAGCCACTCTTTGCATTGTAACAGTGAAAACTCTTGCTCTTATTAATCTCTGGGTCAAACTTGCCTCAAAATCTACTAGTGTACTTGTATCTGGTGTTACCAGAATTCTGCTTTAGATTTAAAAAAAAAAAAAATTAAGTAACTGCTACTTCATTACCAGTTCTGGTGACTTGGATATTGGTCTGCCAGATCCTCTCTAAGATTAGTCTAAGAAAAACATGTAATCCAGTCTCATGATTTATAACTATCAAACAATAGGAAAGTGACCAAGGTTTTCTGAGATGTAAAGGAACTTAGAAATCAATAGTGCTTTCATTTCTACAAGTTTCAGGGTTTATAGCTCTAGCATACCTTTCTGGAAAATAAATACCTGGAAAAGGTAAGTTTTAGTAGTAGTTTTAAAAATTCAAAGATTTAAGAAAAAACTCAAAAGAAAATGAGTGTGCACTATTCAATTTCTGCATGTTCAGGAATTTAACTACTATCTTTAACAAAATAAATTTTGAAAAAAGATTCATTAGAATAATGGACTAAAGTTATGTACCTCCCTTTTCACAGTGTCCAGAAATATGGAAAAGGAAAGAGGGTTGAGAAGAGAGAAGAGGTCACATTTATGTACCAGTCACTTGACATATTAGCAAAAAAGTGTACTGAAATATTTAAAATGATCTCAAGGTAAACAGTTAAAAACATGAAAATGATATAATGACATGAAAATGTCATAGAACAACCCCAAATCATTTTCTGAACTAGCTCTTTTTATAGCTCACTACTATAATCCTAGCAATTTACCATTATCTCTCACCTACAAAATGGCAAAGGCCATGTAACTGATCTCTACATTTACTCTTACTCCCAACTCACCACCAGCTCATTATTCATCCAGTCACCAGAATAGCCTTTTAAAATGTGAATCAGATATGTCATTCTTCCTTCTTATAACTCTCCAAATGATCTGTAAGAAAGTAGAAAAAAATCCAAATTTCTTACTGTGGCAATTGAGGAACCATATGAATTTAGACTCTTCCATCTAACATTGTGTTTTATTCCACTTGCCTGCCACACTGCATGCCAGCCAAATTGGCCTTTTCTTTTCTGTCCCTGAAATAATCCAAGTTTGTTTGTGTTTCAGGACTCTTAGATTTTATAATCCCACAGCTCATCAAGAGACTTCTTCTTACATATCATCTAGTTCTCATCCAAAATCTTTCTCTTTAATAGAGCCTCTGTGACCTTCATTCCCTTTACCTTATACTCTTTTAATTGTATTTAACACTACCTGGTATGATTTCAGTTAGTAAGAAATACATATTTATATATTTACTTCCCCCCCAAGTAAAAGTAAGTTTCTTGAGAGTAGGGATAAACAGTCATTCACTGTGAAATCCCAAGGGCATACACAGTTTTGGCAAATAGTAGATGCTCAATAAATATGAATAAAAGAGTGGAATAGAATACATACAAACTATATTTTAACTCATGATACATATCTGGAAAATTGACAGAAAAGGACACAAAATTGGAAGTTTATTGGCATTTAACTTATCGAGAAAGTAGTATATTGAGGACTCTTTATAAGACTGAGATAGATTTGAAAATGATTTATAAGAGTTTAGAAAACAGCGCCAAAAGCCCTGAAAAACTCAATTAATTATGACTCCTTTAGGTCTCCAGGTCCCTGATATTATTTTATGGTTTCAGCAAATTGCTGTTAAATCTACATACACCAAAATTAAAATCAAGAGCAGCCTGGCCCTTGTCTCTGCAGCCCCTCCTTCACTGAGATGGCCTACAGTTCATTACACCTTCACTGGAAGCCCAGTTTCTGATCTCATAAAAGAGGGAACCTATAAAACACCATCATTAATTCTGTGTCTTGAGATTGTATAAAGATTCAAATATCTACTGTCCACAGTCAACCATGGGGCTTCGTACTAGATGAGAAGGGAGAAAGGGAATCCAGGAACAAGGCAACAATAAAATAAACACTTGGGCAAAATCTCCACTTAATGAATGATCACTCTCAGCAAATGCTAGCTTTTCATGGAACACTCTTCCCTCTCCACATCTTCCCTATCCCATTCTTACAACTTATAGCAAAATATGAAAACAAGGCTTACCAGAATCGCAACCATGGGACTAATAATATTTTGGAGTGAATATTTTGTTGTTGTTGAAGGCTGCTCTGTACATTATAGAGCATTTAAAAGCACTGCTGACCACTGTATTCTAGTAATACATAGGCAACACATCCCAGTCCCCTCAACTGTGACAATCAAGAAATGTTTCTAGATGTTGGCAAGTCCCCCCAGTTGAGCATCACCAAGTGGGAGTAAGCTGATTATAATCTACTGCAAGATTAAAACATTTCAAGGATCTAACGGTATGAGAAAGTCTTCACCTTTACCATGTAGGATAGGAAAAGGGCCATGACTATAGTAAAAGGTAGATAAATTCAGAAAATACAAAATCAATATATGCTGGATGAGTTTGTACTCAACAAAAATACAAGATCATCTGATAGAGTAAGGAGAAATGATGGATGCTGCATTTCATTTTTTTATGTTAACAGACTTTATTTTTAGAGAAGTTCTAGGTTTATAAAAAAATAAAAGCAACAACATTCAAACAGAAGGTACAAAATGTAACACTCACCCAGTCCCCAAACATATATATATATATATATATATATATACAGTGCCTCCTATAGTCACATCTTACATTAGCACAGAACCTTTTTTTACAGATGAGCTGCTACTGAATATACTTAACTAAAGATTCTGTGCATTACTTATACTTTGCATTAGGACTTATTCTTTGTGTTGTGCATTCTATGGGTTTTCACAAATGTATAGTGACATGTATTCACTAAAATGCCCAATAGGGGATGACGCAGCGGGTTAAGGGCAGCGCTGTGAATCTGTCCGCAGCCTCTGCAGCACAGGTTCGATTCCCGGCCAGCCAGGGAGAAAACCACATAGCGTGGCAGACCTCCCCTGTCTCACCTTCTGCTCCCCTCAGCAGTGTTTTCGGTTTGTCTGGCTGTTTTGCTCCCCACTCTCTCTCTGGAGAATTCTCTCAACCTCCCGCACCTCTGACATGTACTCCAGTTCTTGTATAAATAACTAAAATGTTTTTTTTAAAAAAAACATAAAATGCCCAATAGGAAAGTCCTATATATGCCCTATATTTTCCATGATCTGCCCTCTATTCCCCGTGTTCCACCTGCTCATCCTTTTTCCATTCTCCCACTTGGCTGGTAACCAGTCATCTTTTCATAGTCCAAAATTGTACTTTTTCAAAAATAATATAGTTGGAATTATATAGTACAAAATCATATGAAGCAATATGCCTTCATGATACTTCCATGTCTTTTTTGTGTCTATCAGTGAATAATATCCCATTTATCTGGATGTACTACAGTTTGTTTATTAATGCACCTACTGAAGGATATCTTCCCAAGTCCTGGTAACTATAAATGAAGCTTCTAAAAAACTTTCTGTGCAGAATTTTGTGGAGACAGGTTTTTAACTCACTTGGGTAAATACCAAAGAACACAATTGCTGGATCATATGGTAAAAGCATTGTAACAAATTGCCAAACTGTGTTCCAAAGTGGTAGTAGCATTCTACATTTCCTGTCAGCAGTGAATGAGCTCCTATTCCATATCCTTGCCAATATTTGGTGTTACCAGTGTTTCTCCTATTAGTCATTTTAATAGGTGTATGGTTATTTTAATTTACAATTCCCAAATGTCATATCATATTACACATATCTTCATATGCTTATTTAACAACTGTGTATCTTTGGTGATTTGTCTGCTAGATAATTTTTCCACTTTTTTAACTGATTTTTTTTTCTTATCTTTGGTTTTAAGATTTCTTTGTATATAATGGATACCAGTCTTTCATCGTATATGTGTTTTGTCAATTTCTCCCACATGACCTCTCTTTTCATTTCTCTTAACAGTTTCTTTCACAGAGAAGTTTGTCTGTTTATTTAATATTAATGAAGACCTACTTACCAGTATTTTTCTTTCATTGCTTAAGTGGCTATATATATATAAATTTCTCACCAAGTCCAAGGTTAACTAAACTATATCTTATGTTATATTCTAGGAATTTTATAGTTTTATGTTTTAAATTTGGATCTTTGATCCATTTTTAGTTAGTCTTTGTGAAGGATTAAAGTTTGTTCCCAGTTTCATATAGTTTGCATTCTGATATCCAGTTTTGCAATATCATTTCCTGAAAAGACTAGCCTTTCTCCATTAAATTGCCTTTGCTCCTCTGTAAGTAATGAGTTGAGTATGTGTGGGTCTATATGTTGACTTTTTTTTTTCTGTTTCATTGATCTTTTTATAAGAGGAATGTTCGTATTCTTTCAACAACAACATAGTGTCTTAATTACCAGCTTTACAACAAATCTTGAAGTCGAAGCATCTGTTTTCCAACTTTTGTCTTCCTTTCTAAACTTTTCTTAACACTAAAACATATAAGGTACCTAAGTGTACATATCATGATTTGAAAGTGACTCTGGGGGTGAAGGCACAGATTGTGTTATATGAGTTTATAGGTACATTAACTATGGGTAAGGAAAGGCAATCTATTTATTACATGATACTTCTTCCTGGACACATAAAGACAGCTTTTCCCAGGTCCTTGCAATGAAGTTATAGGCCCAGATCTACATAGGTCTGCAGTGAAGTGACTGAGTTTTGGACCATGAAATGCCAGCAGATCTGGCCCTCAAAATACACCTTCTGGTCTTCCATCATGCTTTATATTGCCACAGTAACATTAGAAACCAGATCTTCCAGAAAGGATAAAAACAAAATGGAAGCAATCTAGGTCTACAAATCACTTAGAGAAGAAATACACAAGAAAATCACTTCTTATGCTTTGGATACAAGCAAGAAAGATAAAACATTTATTGCATTACAACTTTTATTTGTCACTGCAACATGGCCTATACTACCCTGAATGATATATTAGAAATTATATGCTATTTTTTGTTTTTATTTTTTTGTCAGGATCTCATTCGGTGGTCAGGATTAGAAATTTAGAAAACAGAGGGTTTATTTTATATATTGCTGAAATTTGGCACAGAGTGGAATGTCCTTGCCTATGATCTAGATATCCATTTTTATCCCCTCTCTATCAAAATGATACAAGACCCCTAATATATTAACTGCTCATCTGAAATCACAACCCGGACTGAAATATACCCATTCCACTCTAACTCCTATGCAGCATGCATAATTTATTTAGAGGCATTAAATTTGTAGGGTCCACAAGCACTCAGCCTGAGGTGATTCAATTATCTTCCCCTGAAGTGGGACAAGTAAAAAGCAGATCAAAGAAAAGGGGAACAAAGGAACTCTTAAAAATATATAAGCTGATCTTAAAGGGCATGAAGAAAGGTTTCTTCGAATCGTAATTGTAATGAGGATGCTCATCATTTTCACATACTATCTTTATTCCAAAAAAGCTCAAAGGATTTTGGATCTGATCTCGCAATTTCAATACACGTGTGACTGCTTGAGAAAACTAATAAATCTCACAAAGTATTCTCTTTGAAGACAGCAAAGACCAGGATATAATGATGTGTCCCAACGGACTGATCACTTGACTACACCCTGGAATAATCCATGACCTGGCAGAGAATGGGAAATAGGTATTGTTCTTTGCAGGGAGAAAAGAGACCCTGCATTTCAGCAGCCACTGTAAAAGTCAAAAGAGAGAACAAAACTCTCTGTACAAATATTAGAAACCAAAACTCTGAGCATAGTTTAACAAGAGCCTCAACACTCTTTTCCTCTATAAAACTGTGGTCATTTAATAAGTGCTTTTTGAATTTTTAATCAGAATGGCAGTTGGTCCATTATATATAAATATTTTATTTTTAGATTTTAGTAAGGGGAAAGAAAATCTCCACTTTTCAAAGAGCTCTTATATCTCTACATGATCTTAGAAACTGAGTAGCAAGAGACAATACCTGAAATGTTTTCTAGACCTTCTTAAACCTTCCCCTGACTTTTTTAAATTCAATAAGCAGAAGAGTCTTTAACCATATATTACATTTATATCTACTGTTTAAAGGTTAAATAGTAGATATACATTCAGCACACAATTTCTGCTATGTGCCAAGTGCCAAAAAATAATAATTTAGATCCCAAAATGAGTAAGTTCTTTATATGTAAAGTTGCTTGCAAAGGAGAAAAACAGATATATTAGCATTAATACCTCCTTTCCTCAATATCCTTGGCAGCAAAGAACAAAACCCCCCACTGGTAAAAAGCTGCTCCATCTGCCATCCTATTGCAAGAACAGCTCGCTTTCTTGGAAAGATGATTTATGGGATAAACAAATCAAATCTTTCATATTTGGGGGTGAAAAATCGTGGTAGAGAAGTTTTTGTGAAGAATTCCCATTTATTATAGGCCCATTGGTGAAACACAAATAAACCAAAACTCTGAGTGAATGAATTATAAGCATCCTTATTGTCCTTTTCCTTCTAGTCTGTTCTTCCTTTTCCTCCTAACCTCTAAGGAGGTTATTCTTACTTGAAGAAACTACTATACTATAAATGATTTATTAGAAAAGTCATGTACATAAGTCTTTTTTTTTTAGTACAATAAATTATCATCACTACACAGCAGTAAGGAAGTTATTACATGGAAGTAACTGCCTTGCTAATTGTCACAAATAGATAATGAGTAGATGAGATACTAATAACACACTCTCCTCCCCAGGTTGCTTTCCTGCATTTTAGTTGATAGAGGCAAAAATAAAAAAAAAAAAGGTGTTTGTATAAACTGATCTAATTCCCCACTGCAGAACTGTGGCAGAGTCAAATCAGGGTACCACATGTCTTGACTTCAGAACTGAACCACCAACCTGTCTCTTCATTTACTGACTTTAAAGAGATTTCTAGAAAAGTAAATAGCAGATGTGACTTCCTTTCTTCCTTCATATTTTTCTTGCTTCTGGAAAATCAAATGAGTCCCACTTAGTTCCTCCTGGTGGAATAGAGATTAAGTCTCAGCAATCTCAAACTATCATGCTGTGGTCCAAGTTCGATCCCCAGCCAAGAGTTCAATCCCTGGCCAAGGAGTTAACCTACATGGTGCAGCAGACCTCTCCTGTCTCAGCAGTGTATTTCAGTCAATCTGCCTGTTCTGCTCCCCACTGTGTCTCTGGTGAAACCTTTCACGACCCCCGTACCTCTGGCCTACACACCAGCTCTTGAATGCATAAATAAATAAATCTTCAAATATATATATATATATTTTTAATATGGTATGTTTATATATGGTAACCAAAGAGTTTATATATTTATATACGGTAACCAAAGGGTTTTATAGAAAGCACAGTGCTCAGTTTAAAAATCTTATTTAAATTCTAGCTGTGATGCTTTTGATATGTAAATTGGATATGATACCTAATATCACTGATCCTTATTTTCCTAATCAGTAAACAAGGAACAAACATACGACCTCCTATGTTTTAATGTGAGGTTGGAAAGAGTATCTCAGAATGGTGTTAGGTGATTAACAAATAATCAATATATTTTACATATTGTCATCCTCTAATAATCTTATAGACAACTCTTTTTGATTAGCATATTAATTTAAAAAAAAAACATAGTTTCAGGCTTCCAACAGAACCAATATCTTAAATGATGGTTCTGGTTTTTCATTCTCATCTCAGCCACTACTTATTTGACATTGGGCACATCACCTTTCATTATGAGCTTCAGTGCCTGAATGTAGAAAACGATGCTTTAAAACAGCAGACTCTTTGCACACAGGTATTCAATAATGGATATTAAGTGGTTTGCTCAGAGGAAGCATTAGACAACTATTATTTCCCTTCCTTCTTCTCTGGACCAACAGAATGAGTCTGTTTTGTTTTCTTTGTAGTAGGAGGTTGTCAATGGTAGCTGCAGCCCTTGGGCTTCATCTGATGTAAAGACAAAATTTCTTTGTCCTTTAAAAAAATTCTAGAAAATGGTAAAATGTGAGGGATGGGGCATTGATTGAAAAGGGGCACCGGGGTTATGAAAATTTTCTATTTTTTTTTTTAGGTGATAGTTACACAATTTTATGTTACTGTCAAAAAACATTGAATAGAACCTCAGTGATATACATATTGGTTGATATTAATTTGGTCTCAATTTTTTAAAACAAAGGATAACCTGAGACTTAGAAAACTAAAAGACTGTATGGAAAGATACTATACAACTTTATTTTTTCCTCTGAAGTAATTATTAACAAATAATTACATGGAATTTTTTTTTAATTTAAGGCAACATTTTAAAACTATAAAGTTCACATGGAAACCTAGATAAAACTACTTCTCCATAACAATGGGAAGACCTGGTAATAGCAAACACACATGTACTAAAGGCAACAATCGCTTTAGTTAAATAAAAACAAACACTTTACAAAGAATCTACCCAAGACCATGTTTCTTCCACTATACATACTTAGGTACACAGACATCTCCTTGATTTTACAGTCCATTCGACAGCACCATCGTAACATAATTGTTTTAGTATTTTATTTTTTCTTTTTTTAAAAAGATTTATTTTATTTACACAAGAGCTTGGGTACAGGACAGAGGTGCAGGAGGGTGAGAAGATTCACCAGAGACAGAGTGGGGAGCAGAACAGGCAGACAGACCAAAAGTACTGCTAAGGGGAGCAATGGGTGAGAGAGGAGAGGTCTACCATGCCATGTGGGTATCTCGCTGGCTGGCCAGAAATCAAACCCATCCTGAAGAGTCAGCAGACAGCTTCACAGCACTGCACTCAACCCACTGTGCCACCAGGGAGGCCCTGTTTTAGTATTTTAAATGTGAACTCTTTGGAAGGAGTGCAATATCCTAAATAAGTTCAGTAACAAAATAATGTGGACATTCTAATACAAGTTCCACTACTGAAAAATTCAAATCTGGACTAAAACTTAATTTTTCAGGAAAGATATTAAGAATTGTAACAAAAATATGTATTTTTTAATTATAGACTTAAAAGTAAAACAACTGGAAAAAATTGCTTGCAAAATCGGCTATTTCAGACAATTAAGTATTTCAAATTATCCCTGCAAATAGTTTATGCAAGGCAGGGGCTTACAGTTGAAAACAAAACATTAGTACTTGATTTTGAATAATAAGATCTTGTCTTCATAATTTAATAATTCAATCTTGTCTCCTAGTTTAGTGAGTTATGAATATGATCCAGAAATTGCTTTCTTTTCCTGCATGTTAAGCAGTAGTATCTGAAGACAATGGTTTCCAAAAGGCACCAGTCTCACACCGATTAAAATGATTCACTTTCAAGAATGTCAGAATCATGTCAGGTGATTCTTATCTTAAGATGGGAAGAACCTCCCTATCAAAGGTCCATAACACCCTGGGATTTCAGTAAGCACTCACGGTATTAGTATCACTCATTTATGAGATATAAATCAATAAGACACCCTAGAGAAGTTATACTAATCAAGACCCTATGGAGCTTGTTAAAATAGATATAACCAGAACCACAGAAACATGTTAGTATATGGTAGGCATACACACAGACACACACGCCATGCAACTAACTTCTCCTAACATGAACATCTGAAAATTTTAATGCAATAGAGAGGGATGAATAAATACAATATAACCTGAAAATATTTATATACTATTCAAGTCTGAAATTATACACTGTAAAAAAAAAAAAAAACACTCAGGTATAAAACTTACACATATTTTGTTTAAAAAGAGGTTTCCTCACTATGGTTTGCCATTTAGGAGTTTGTTTTTCAGTAGCATAACCCAAAGGTGGGGTGGGGTATTTAATCACTTTACCCAGCAACATAAACAAACAAGCTGGGAGACTCATAACCTGAAGTGCACAGAGGGGATTTCATCTACAATAGTGCAGTGGGTATTCCATTGAAAGTTGTTGCACAACTATTGGCTTAAAATCAAATACATTCCCCTACAAAATGAGAAACAAGGATTGAATCAATTACCTGAAGGCAAAACCAATCACACAAAGTAGTCTTTGCAACTATGAATGCAGCAGAAGAGCAAGGTAGGAGGGCTACTGCACAAATATTCTACAATTATCAGCAGCAGCTACACAAACAACATTGTAGCTCTCATTTACCTGGAGAGTTTGTCACATCTGTGCACAGCAGCCACAGCTGCTACCTAGAGCAGAGAATGAACATGTTCACAACCTTGAAAAAACAAGCTATCTATTATCTTCCCTTAATGCTGAACATGATGCCTTGTGAGTAGGCAGAGATTCTATGTTGGCTTTAAATATATTTCTTTTAAATGATTTTTGCAAAGTCGAATGCATCTTTATATTCTAAAAAAAAATCTATGTTTTATGAAACCATCTAAGTTTGGTGTCCATTCTTTAGTTACCTTATTCAATAATAGAATCAAACTATGCTAGTTATTCTGTATAGCCATTCATAAATTTCAACACTTATATTTAAGAACTTAGACTCACTGACTTTAAAAACCTGAGGAAGGAAGCTGTGTTAACCTTAAAAATCCCAAATTCAGATGCAAAATGCTACCCACTAAGATGTAAAGTGTATCAGATCTTAGTGTTTATTATAAAGGTATAAGACTCCAAGAAATAAAATTGATAGATTTAGTCAAATAACATTTTTCCAGAAGCAATTTCTATTGCTTCAATTCTATTCAACTGCTTCAAGTAAAAATCACAAATAGGACCATTTACTAGTGATGTTAAAAAAATAAAGACTGCATAAACCAAATATATCAGTACCACTTAATAACTGTCAACTCTGAAATTATATTTCCATTTGCAGGGATACATCCTAAGTACTAAAATCAGTACACTAAAACATTCATCTTTAAACAACCTACTTGAGAGATAATATGATTATTCCCTATTTGCAGATGAGAAAACTGAGTAATAGAAACACAAAGTGATTCTCTCCCTAAGACTACACAACAGTGAAAGGTTCAAAGTGGAATCCAATGTTGACAATCTATATCCCAGGCTCTGAGAATCCCACTACTACACAATTAACATTAAAGATACTGAGCCTAGAAGTAAATATTTTGTGTATTAATTCCATAAACAAGAGTTATAAGTTTGGATAGTAACACCAGCTAATATGACTTATTTTTCAAAAATGTAATAGAATATATACATACTAAGGAATGCCACTCATTGAACTCACTCTAAAAATTAATGCAATACAGCAAATTTCCCACATTTGTTGGGGAAAAAAAAAATAGTAGGATGCCATTTTGAATTTAGCAGCTTTCTTAGAATTCAACTTGGTATTCATTAATTCACTAATGGGTATCTGGTATTGAAATAATAAGGTTCTCTGTGCTTCTGTCCCCTCTATTAGACTCAATTCTACAGTCATATTTCTAGAGTTCATTATTGGGATGATGTTGACTCTTTTTTTGTTTCTCCCTATTTCACATATGACACCATCTGATAGTTTCTTTCTCCCTCTGACTTATTTCACTTAGCATATATTTTTTCTAGTTCCATCCATGTTGCCACATATGGCAAGAGTTTATCTTTTCTTGCCATGAAAAAATTGTTTTTAAAAACTAATATGGCATAAAGAAAGGATGAAATTATAATAAATTTATATGAAAATAAAAAGTTTATGGTTCCCAGACCTAAAAAATAACCTACCAAACAACACATAAAATGCCAAGTAACACTAACTTATAGTAAAAGTAGAAATGATATTACCATTACACAGCCTGTACAAAATAGTTCCCAGGGAAGTTTGGCGGTGCCCACTCTTCCTACTCAAAGAACACAATGCTCTCTCGCAGCTGCTGCAAAACAAACACTAAACACTAGTTTCACTTTCTGCCTTTTTCTTTGAAGAATAGGTCTCTACAAGATGTTCAGAATAGACCTTCCCAAGACATGTCGCTTTGCCAGATGGATTATTTCAAGCTGAGGCCAATTCAGGCCCTGCAGACTATAGACTGTTTAGAAACTTTACCACTCCCTTAAGTGCCTAGAGTGAAAATTGGGAGTGTAATCCAGAATTAGGGTTTTTACCAGAAATAGACATTCTGTTAGAAAAAGCCTATCAATTATGACAGGGCAAACATCTAATTATAGTGTATATCTGGTTTCCCTCAGATGAATGACCCTTTCCTCATCATGTAGCCCCTTCCTCTTGCCTTGAAGTATCAGGCCTTTTCCCCTTCATTAGTTCAGGATATATATCCTCATTTTTGCTTTGCAGTCTTAGAGCTCCATACACACGTAATTAAATGTGTTCTTTTCTCCTACTAATCTTTTTGATGTTTATTTAGTGGCTCAATTAACCTCAGAAGAATCCAGAGGGGGGAGAAGAAATTTCCTCTTCTCTATGACACTTTTAAAATCAAAAATCATCTTTGGATTTATTTCTGTTAGCAAAAATAGATACTAATTGGGTATATCAGCCAGTAGGTCTTTCATAAAATTGAGATGACATAACTCAAAAGGCTGAAAAGCAAAGGATATCAGTGACTAAGTGTTACATAGAAACACACAATGTTAGGGTGAATATTAAACCATTTTCTTCAAAATCTCTCTCAGTAGAGATTTTATAACAGATTTGGCTCTGTACAAATTATCAGTTTTCATGCACAGTAGACCTCATATAATCACCTCATCTTAGCATTCCCTCATTCCTTTACCTTCTCACTCACAACCAACTATTACCCATCAACCACATATAAGACAGAATCCTTCTAATATAGAAAATAAATATTCATTAACTCTGATCTCAAGAACAATTACTACCAATTTGTTCCCTCTCAACTGACACACGCAATAACACAATAATTATTTCACTTTAGAGTCTCATCTATAATAAAGAAAATTCCTTTAAACCATAGATTAGGATATATTCTTTAAATTGTAATATTAGTCAAGTAAATATTTATTCTGCAGCATTTATCCTCAATAGACACCTTGAAACTAATTTTTAGAAATTTGTTTCTTGCTTTTGCCAACCTTGATCTGTCAGTTTCTCAGTTTCTGAAGAGAATTTTCTAATGTTCCTTAAAAAAAAAGAAAAAGAAAAAGCTCTAGCACTAGATATTTTCATTATACCTGTATTTGCTGATAAGAAAATTTTTATGCATTTGCTCTTATTTCAGATTTGTCCTTATTAACTGACTAACTGGTATGTGTTCTTGCTCCTAACATTCAAAGGAATCTATCAAAATGGCTTATTTATCCATTTCACCACTAGGGGAGTAAATGGAGGCAAAGAACCAAAAAGAGTTATCTATTAGCCCTTTGGGGGAAAGATAAGTTTTTATACAACTAGGATGGTTCTAAGTGAATTTAAAATATTGACATAAGATTGGCAGCTGCTCACATTCTGTCTGAAAGGTTTACTACTGGCAGGAACTCCCAGCAGCTGCTTGTTTGAAACGTGAGAAAACATTTGGACAGTTAGGATAGCCTGATTTTCCCCTTAAAATCTGTTTGGCAAAACTTCCTGGCAGTTAATATGATCCTGTGAAAAGCCTTTTTAAAAAAGTTGTTCACATCTCCTCACAATACTTGTTTTGCCAGTATAGACAATATTTTTAAAAGTGATATTTTGAACCCATATCTTTTTATTGTTGTTAATATTTTTTGTCATTTAGCCAATAGAAATGTAAAATGGGTGGCAAAGTATGTTCTTATAATAAAACATGATTAGATTAAAATTCATTAAATAGGGAAAAAATTTTTAAGAGATTACTAGTCGCTTCTATGGTAGTTTTTTATATCAAATTGAGATTAGAGCAGAAACCACGAACTGTAGTTTTAACAGTGAGTAAAAATACCTATTTAGAAATAATATTAATGATGCTCAAATTCAGCAAATTCATTTTTAAGCTCTAGGGCAATTTGCAAGAACAGTTCAAAGATCTTAGTCCTGGCAATAGTCACATACTGAAAATCATCATGAGCATTCTTATTCAAGCAAGCACTCTGCATAAAATAACCACTGCCCAGGGAGGTGTAATTTGTGTACTCAACTTTTATAATAATTTTCTGAGCATTTCCTTTCCTTAATGGGTGTTCTTCTCTCACTTTAACTGCTTTCCTCTCATTTACTTTCAAGTATGCCCTGGCCTCTGCAGTGCTACCCCTTATCTAAGGCAGAGCAATCTAAAAGATATTGATTTATGATGGCTATGTAATTTACACTCTCTGCAATTTTCCTGTATGATTTATTCAAAAAATAGATTGTACATTAAGCTTGGCATTCATTAGCTGGTCCATTCTAGATTCATATTAACCCTGTATCATATTTGTTGAAAGATTTATGCATTTAGAGTATGTATAGTTGTTTGACAGATTTTAACATATTTGCAAAATCATAGTAACCCTTTAGAAACATTAGCATTGGAAAGCGAAAGGATATGACATCAGTAACCTGGGATAACTTAAATTACTGGCGTTATATATGACAATAAGTTACTCCGTGAACATGAACATATCAAATTTCAACTCTATGTTCTTTTCTCTCATTAAAATAAATTGTGAGAATAATCCATTATTAATCAACTTATACAAAATATATTCTGAAACATGTAAAAATTCCATTCTACAGCATGCTACAATATGCTTGCTAAAAAGTAAACTGGATCCCAGTATTGATAATAAATGTGGCAATATGTGATAACTGAATAGTGGTAATAATAAAGGATATTAGATATATTTTCTACTATAAACAGCAAATTTTATTGGCAATAATTTAAGAAAGTATCCCTACTACTTTGGATTTACTACACTGAAATACTACTTACTGAGTCTTTGCCAATAATTGAGAGTTCTGGTCATCTGGCATATACATCTTTTTTTTAAACCAAAAATGAATTTAAATTCACATAAAGCTCCTCATTTGTTCAAATAGATAGACTCTTAAAGTAAAACATCTCTTCAAAGATGTAGTGTTCAGAAGACAGTGGCAACATTGTATATAGATTGATGCCTTTAATTCCATATGTGACTTAAAAGCAAATGCCAGCAAACTGATAATCTGAGTCAGCATTTACCTCTCATTTCCTTTATTTTTAGAATTTGAAGGGAATTAAGTGAGGATGCTGACAAAAACACAGGCTTTCATTTAAGATATTAGCAGAAAAGAACATGATCAAGGGCATTTAACATAATGAGAACCTGACATTATAAAATGATTTTTATGAAAGTGTCTCTGACACATCCTCATTATGATATTATATAGACTAATATTTATTCCTTGTTATATGTAATGCTTTGTTTCAGTGTTCTGAACAGTGATATGTCTATCATTACATGTCAGAATTGACATATCATAAAAAGGAGGGGAAAAAAAAGATGGGGAGGGTGGTCATGGTGGGAGGATAGAGAAAACTGAAGCAGTAATTCAAAATAATTATTTTTGGGGCCTCCCTGGTGGCACAAGGGTTGGGATGAAGCACTAGGAATCTACCCACAGCCACTGCAGCACGAGTTCGATCCCCAGCCAGGGAGCAACCCACATGGAACCGCAGACCTCTCCTTACTCGCCTGCTGCTACCCTCAGCAGTGTATTTCAGTCAATCTGCCTGTTCTGCTTCTGGTGAACCTTTTCACACCCCACACATCTGGCCTGTACCCCAGTTGTTGTATGCATAAATAAATAAATCTTAAAAAAAACAAAATATTTTCTAATTTATTATTTTCTAACTTAATCACATATGTATCACATATTCAAAAACAAGCTAAGTATTCAATACATAACAAGCTGAATATCTCTATTATAGGGAATGGAATCCTTTGTGGGCATTAGAGTTATTTCAAAATTTGTAATTATTCAAATTATTACAGATTTTTGATTGTGCACCCATTGAAGTAAAAAAACAAATGCCAACATATGATTAAGTAATGGTGGCCTCTAATAAATCATATGAAGTCATTTATTTGAAAATGGAGCCCTTTATAACCTTTCTTATTATTAAAACATCAATCCAATCAATTTCATTTTCAACGCAAATATAACTTTTCCATACCTGTCAAAATGTACAATGGAATTTCTATTGAATATAAGTTATTAA